ACCTGACTCTGAACTGCGGCCCGTGGTGGTCACCTGACTCCTGAACTGCGGCCCGTGGTGGTCACCTGACCGAACTGCGGGTCCGTGGTGGTCACCTGACTCTGAACCGCGGCCCGTGTGTGGTGGTCACCTGACTCTGAACTGCGTGGCCTGTGGTGGTCACCTGACTCTGAACTGCGTGGCCTGTGGTGGTCACCTGACTCTGAACTCCTTTTCTGGAGCAGAGGGCAGTGTCTCCGTCTCTCAGTACCACACAGCGGGCAGCTCCCAGGACAGAGATGATTTCCTCCCAGCTGTGGAGGCTGGAAGTCAGGGATCCAGGTGACGGCAGGGCTACTTCTCCCAAGGCTGCTCTCCGGGGCTTACAGGCAGTGTCTTCCTGCTGTCTCACGTGGCCTTCCTCCATGCACGCACAATCCTGGCCTCTCTTTCTCTTTGTGTAAAGCCACATTCCTGTTGGACCAGGGCCCACCTGTGTGACTTCTTTAAAAACCCTGCTTCTAGTAGGAGTCACACTGGGGTTAGGGCTCCATCGTCGGAATTTTGGAGGATGTAATTCAGCCCTAATAAATGGTGCTGCTAGGAACCATCATGTACATGTGGATGTGCTTTCCTGGCACACAGTCTACCTGGCAGTATTCTAACTTATTTCTGAAAGATGGAAAAATGAGCAGAATCCTGGGACCCCCACCGAGTCCCCACCTGGAGAGGGGCGGCATCACAGCATGGGAGAGAAAACCAAAGTCCTAGCCCTGGGAACATCACCTGCCCATGAAAAGGCCCGAGCACCACAGGGGCTGAGGAGCGACGTGGCAGAGGCAGATTGTGTTCCTTCACCTGAACGAACAGTTAACTATTTGCTAAGAAGCTTCCACCTGGAAAAGATAAGGAGGGTGCAAGGGGCCTCCTCCCCACCTGCAAATTGTTTCTCCCTGAGACCCCTGTGAGATGAGATGTGAAGCTGTTCAAGGACAGTAATGGGGAGAGAGAAGTGACCCGCAGACCTCGTCTTCCCACCTTCCTACCCAGACAGCTCCTCCCTGGAGGATGAGGCCAGGTCCCCAGGCTGACAAGTAGAGCGGGATGGTGAGGCGCAGGAAACAGTGGAGGAGAAGCCCCTGGGGCACAGATGCTCTTGGCGAGGTGTGCTCCTCCCACCTTCGAGAAAGACTCATTAGTGGTTCAGTCCATCAGCTGGAGGAGGCACCGTCCTGCTGTTGCAGACAAGTTAAAACCTGAGAGTGAGTTGAAAGCATTTGGCCTTTAGCCATCTCTAAATTGCACGGCCAGACGTTAATGCAAATCCAAGGTCATCACTGACACTTGGCACCTGTCTCCAGCGAGTAGAGCTCAGCTCCTGCCTTTGGAGAAGTGTGGGACCCAGTCCCTGTCATAGGGGGTTCTGAGAAACCCCTGCTCTGGCTGCTTGCTGATTGTGAGGGTGCTGTGAACGCGTCCAGCCTGATCTGGCAGCCTGAACCTCCTCGCGAGGGGACAGAGGCGACCACAGCTGACGGGGGGGGAGCAGCATGAAGACGTGGAGGGGGAAATAAGAAGCACAAACATTGAGGCTGTCCCAACCTTCCTCCTAACGGCCAGCACAGAACCTCGGGAACGGCGCGGTGGAGAGCTGGGCACAGGAGAGTTTGTCTTTGGACAGGAGACCCGAGGAAGACGCATGTTCCTGGGCCTGGGACAACAGACAGGGCCTGGGACAACACGAAACAGCAGATGTGCATTTTCAGGAACATCAGCTTTTCTGTAGGACCCTCTGCGGGAGGCCGAGCAGAAGCACGGGGCTCACCTTTCAGCTTCAGAGCACGGTGAGGGACGCCTGCCTCACAAACTCATCTTGCCCTAACTCTCTCCCAAAGGCCCTGTCTCTAAATACCGGCACCTTGGGGTCGTGGCTTCAACAGAGGAATTTGGTGAGGGGCACAGCTCCGTCCACTGCAGGAGGTGACGGTGCTCAGGCTGTGACTGGGCACTCAGTGTGGGTGGCTGCGTCCATCCTGCCGAGGAACCAAGACATACCAGGGTATGTGCTGGGGAAAGGCAGCCAGGATGGGGCAGGGACTGAGGGTTTCTAGCTGGGTGAAGGGAAGATTTCAGAGAGAGAACAGTTTTTAAATGTCTGGGGGACTCTTGGAGAAGGTGAGTTCAGCTAGCTTTGCATTTCCGTGGGTGCAAAACCAGGCTGACTGAGCGGACCCAGCAGAGCGACAACTTCCCAGCTCCTCCAGCCGTGAGAACTGACCGTACCGTGCCTCCTTCTGCAGCAAAGCAGGGCCCCTCAGTCATATTCCAGGGAGAATTGCAAATTGCCTCCCTTGCAGCAAGTTTTGGGCATGTATAATGGGTTGGCTGGTTTACTGAAGCTGTTTGTTCCAGTCGCCCTTCTCTCTCCTTGCTCTGGCATTTTACTATTACAGAAATTTCAGGTTGAAATTGTCATGACTCAGAACAGCAGGAACGGGTGCCTGGCACCAGCTGTCAGAAGAGCAGGCCAGGTGGCTCCAGGAGGTGCTGGACTCACAGGCTGCCGTGGAGAGGGATTCGGAGCAGGGCAGGGCTGGCCCCTGATGGAAGGTGACACACTGAGTGTCCCCTCTGGTGTGGGGGCCCTGCCCCTCCCTCTGTGAGACTTCCTGGCTGTCCACCTGGTCCCGGCCCTGCCTGTGTCTTGGGCCCTGTCCTCACTGGGTGGCCCCCTGCAGCAGTGCCTCTAGCTGCCTTGCTGTGCCCCTGCCTACCCCGCTGCCCTCGGGTTCCTCCCCGGACTCCTCTTCCTCATGTGGGTCTCCTGAGGGGCCGCCCGGCCCCTGCCTCCCACTGGACACTTCTCTCAGGTGCCCTCCTGGCCCTTGTCACTATCACATCATGACCCCTCTCCCCTGCCTGTCCCCCTCTCCCCTGCCTGTCCCCGTCTCCCCACACGCCCCGTGGCATCCCCCTCTGTGCCTTTCCAGAGCTGTGTCTCCTGACCCCGCCTCGGGGAGGGCTTGCCACCCAGTGCCAGCTGTGTGTGCCTCATCCACACGCCCCATCAGGCACGAGGTTCTGCCAGCGCCACCTCCTGGGTGTCTCCTCGATCTGGGCTGTTCTTCTCGTCCTCCCAGACCCCGCCTGCCGTGACCCCCTTCACCCCCGGCCTGCTCTGCCCTTGGCCTCCTTTCATGCCTTTCAGCCTCTCCAACAAGTGTTGCCAGATGCTTCCTGAACACAAGTCTGGTCTCACCGCCCTCTTCTCCAACTCTCTGCCTCTCCCACAGCACAGAGCATGCACCACACCCTCTCTGATGCTTTCCTAGGCTCTGAGGATGGACGACGAAGTGGCGTCCCCGTGCCCTTTTTCTATTCCCTTCCTCTTGCATGCACTGCAGTTGCTGGACTGCTGTCCTGATTTACCAGTAGACCCTGAGCTCTGACTCCTGCAGCCAGCGCCCTGCACAGCTGGTGACACAGTGCCTGGGGCGCAAAGCAGAGTCGCCTCCATGCTGGCTGTCCAGCTTAGGTGCCATTAGGATCTTCCCCTGCCCCCCTTGTCCCCCCATTGTCCCCCAGGCTGGATGTGGCCCCCAGCTGCCAACATCAGGAGAGCAGCCTGGGCCTCAGAGCAGCAGGGCGTGGCTCTTGTCCTGGCTCTGCCATGCCAGGCTGTGTCATTTTCGTAGCCAGATAAGAGAATGCCTGTGAGTGTGCTTTGTGAATCAAGGCTACACTTTAATGCAATGTAAACCACTCTTTGCAGGGGTGTGTGTGGTTTCATTTTAGCAAAGCTCACTGAAGTCTATGTTCTGTCCTCTGGTTTCTATCTATTCTGAATTGGGGGAACATTACAACTGCTTTGCAAAACAAGACTAGGAGTTCCTGGCAGGGAAGTCCTTGGTTCTAAGGAGGTAGGTGGCGTCACTGCGGGACAGAGCGTTATCTGCGTGCAGTAGAAAGTCCTTCCTGCCACCCCCTGTCTTGCAGGATCGCCCACATTGAATTGCATTTAGTTCCTGCAACAGTGGGTTATAACTGATCATGAAATCCTAATAATGTATAATCACGTCCATGAGAAATAATTACTGAGTTAAATCAGGTCGCCTGTTTCTTTTCCCAGTTTTTCCCTGTGTACTTGTTTGCTGTTTGCTGGTTGGGTTGGTGGTCAGTGGTGATCACTAGCAGGCAGGTAGGAGCTGTTGCTGAGGGCTTAACACTTGGTGGGAGGGAGCACTGAGAAACTCCACCCTCTGGTTTAATGTGTTCTAGGGACTGGGTGACAGCGGCATTCTTCGGGCATGGTCCAGTGATCAGAGAGACAATCCCGTGGGATCTTGGTGTCCCTCTTGCTATGAATGAGAGGAGAAGGGTGGGGGACACACACCACACACCACCGCTGCACACACCCAGGCTGGGGACAGGGGCCAGCAGGTCACGGGGATCCAGCATTCTGCTGTAGAGCAGGTCAAGTCGGGAGGCATCTGGTGAAGCACTCCTGGGACCCTCCTCCCTGGCTCAAGTTCACACACCCGAGAGGAGCCAGGGGCTTTGCCACCTGCACCCACCCCCCACACTGTGTTCCTGACAGTGCTGGTTATGTCCATGCTTGCAGGGTTGTGGGTATGTGGTTTGGTGGGTACAGGAGTAAGAGCTGGGAGGTTCTGCCTTGCTGGGATGGAGGAAAGACAAGCTCTCCCCTCACATGGGCACAGAGGGGATGGACCATGGTTGAGTTTGGAACTTAGGGATGCCCTGTTCGGCCCCTCCGTTCCATACTGTGTATGACTTCTGGGGGAAGTGCATCTTCCTTCGGAAGCTGTATCAACAGGCGACCTGACCGTGACAGTCACCTGCGTGACCTTGGAGAGATTTAGAGCTGTCTGTCTTAGTCTCTTCTATGTGTCTGTGATGTTAGGAAGGAGGGCGGTTGGGGCACCTGTGCACATGTGTGATGGAGGAGGCCACGGGATCATCTGTGTATCAACCAACTTTGCTTTTATTGTTTTCTACAGGAGACGTGGGGGACAAAGGACAGAAAGGCAGTGTGGGTCGCCATGGAAAAATCGGTCCCATTGGCTCTAAAGGTATTTGCGATGTGATTCTTGCCTCATTTCCCCCCGCCCCTAGGGTCAGTGTCTGGATCCCCTGAGAATAACTCTAGCGTGGATTGTCTCGTGCGGTGCTCCTGTTTATGCTCTGTGCGTGCTAGAGAAGACATCTGCCGTGCTTCCGTTTTGGAGGTGCTTGGAGCTAGTTGCTGGCTCTGTGCTTACAGGGTGCGGTGAAGTGCTCCCCATCCTGTGGGATTTTCATAGCACCCCAGGATGGAGGGGCTGCGGCAAGTGCGCTTGGGCAAGACTCTGGCTGTGTAGCCACAACGTCCTTAACAAGTTTGGTAACACGCTTACAGCCTCACGTAAGGCGCGGACGGACCCTGCTCAGGAGGTGCCGCGTCTGTTCCCCCAGCTCGGGTCTCAGGCATTTCGAGGTGATGGGATGATTCTTGGTGAGAACAGGGTGTGGGATGGCAGCAGCGGGTGTGAGCAGCAACTATGGCGCCAACACCTGGGCTCAGGCTACACCTGCGGGTTCTGATTGCACCGTCTCCGCTGCTGCATTTGCCTGCACAGCCTTGGTAAGGTGGGCAGATCAGCTGTGCCTCCCGTGATGAGAGACTGAGGCCAGGACAGCCAAGGGGTTGCTCAGAAGGTGCTGTTCCTATGCCCCCCTCACCCCCCGCCATCTGGTCAGTGGATGTCTTTGGGGCGCTTGACTTGTTCCAGGTGTATGCTGGGCTCTCGGGGATGGAGCCGGTGGGAGGGCAAGGAGCTGGCCCTCCCTGAGCTCTGCAGGTGTGGACTCAAGAAGTCTCCTTGGGGTCCCGCATGGTGTAGCAATGTGGCTGAGCTGCCCTGAGCACCAGCGGTGAAGGGAGTCTGCTGTGGTCTGTCCAGTTCCGGGGCCAGCTTCTTCTACTTCATTCATCTGCCTCGGAGCAGGTTGGCTCAGGTACCAAGAGGCTACGGTCTGGAGTTTGAGCTGGGAGGGGGTTCTCATGGTTTGTTCTGATCCATGGTCACGGACCTCCCGCTAGCCCAGCCCGTACCTGGTAGAAAGGGCTCTGTGGCCAGGAGAGCGGTGGGGAGGGGCCCAGCTCAGCTGTGGGCCTCCTGGAAAACCTGTGAGAGAGAAAACCTTCCCTGCCACGGCCAATCCAGTGAAGAACACACAGAGAATCAGGGGATCTGGAGGGAGGAGCGGGCTTCACAAACCCAAATAACATCATGGCAAAATACTTATATCCCCAAACTTGCCATTTTAAGTATTTTAAGTGTACAATTCCGGGACATTAAGTACATTTGCAGTGGTGTACAGGCATTACTACGATTTCCAAACCCTTTTCATCTCTCCAAAGAGAAATTCTGTTCCCACTAGGCAGTGGCTCCCCGTTCTTCCTCCCCCAGCCCCGGTAACCTCCAGTCTGCTTTCTGTCTCTGAATTGGCCTATTCTGGATATTTCACATATGTGGAATGATAACAATGTTTTGTCCTTCTAGTTGATTTCACTTGGTGTAGTGTTTTCAAGGGTCACCTGTGTGGTAGCATGGGTCAGAATGCCCTGCCTTTTTAGGGAATAATATTCCACCATATGGATGGACCACAACTGTTATCCATTCACCTGTCGGTGGACATGTGGGTTCTTTCCACCTGTTGCTTTTGTGAATAACACCACGTTGTGTATTGATTCACACATAGGGATGTGTATACTTTTACCATGTGGTGTGTGCTCTGGGCAGATTCCGGCATCTCCTAAGGGGCAGCTGGTCCAGGCTGGCCTTGTTTGGCTTTGCTTATTTGATTTGCCTTGTGTCTGAGATTGTCATCCTGGGTTCTGATCCAGCTGTGCTTTCATTTCCAAGCTCCTGATGCTGATAAAGGAACACAAAGGAATCGGGTGGGTGGAGGCTGCGGAACTCCTTCCCTCCTTGTGCGAATGGAATCGGAATCTACACAAGTCTCTTTGCAGAGGCACTTGGGGCTTCTCTGTGAGAATAAAGAGAATGCATTAGAATTTATTTCTATTAAGTCACATGACTTAATTTTTGAGCAGCTAGAAAGCCCTGTTGCCATCATTTTGTTCAACCCCCTTGTTTTGTATGTTGAGGAAAGCTGAGGGGCAGGGTGGTGAGGTGGCTTGTCTCATCTAACTGGAGGTTGGGTCCAGGCCAGGATGGAGCCCAGGGCTTCTGGTGTCTGGGCCCTCCAGGACACCAGAAGTGGCTTGTCTCATCTAACTGGAGGTTGGGTCCAGGCTGGTGGGATGGAGCCCAGGGCTTGGTGTCTGGGCCCTCCAGGACACCAGGCTGCTGCGAGCAGGGACAGGAAGGACCTTGAGCTGGGATGGTGAAGGAGTGCGCTGACTCTTGGATTAGATGAGCTCCCTGTGGCTCCGGCGCGGTGCTCCCATCATGCCTGATCTGGATTTTCCCCAAGGCAGGAGAGGCGTGTCGGCTGTTGGGGGCAGGGCGGCTCACCATGGCACCAGGGATTCAAGGAGACGTATGTCTGCAGAGTATTCCATCAGATATCCTGGATTTTCCAGAACTGACTTAAAGAATGATCACCCGATAATCCCTGTCACCCCATGACATGTATACGGGGTTCAGATCATATAAATAGCCGAAGCAGGAATTATCTGCAGAATGGAGCTCCGTACTTCAGGCACAACAGGGAGGCCTGGGAGAAACCCACGAGACAAGTCACATTTTCAGTCTTGTTGTTTTTAACTAAAGAACACGCCCACCTCTGCCTGGTGACTTGGACCTTGTTTTTCATTTTCAGGTGAGAAAGGAGATTTTGTGACATAGACCCTGGTCCTAATGGAGAACCAGGTATGGCATAAAGGGTCCAGGATTTTTCATAAAATGTATTAAAAATTGCACTTTGGAAAACAATGTAGATCATTAAATACAATCATGTGGGCTGGGGGAACAGAGCGATGCGCCGGCCATGTGGTCCCCGTGTCAGTGATGCTCTGTGAGATGCTGCGGTTTGATTGCCTTCTACCTGAAATGTGAATGTGACCTCTAGGAGTGTCATCTGCCTGTCCACTGTGTTATTCTGTCTGTGTGTGTAGCTGGGCTCTAAAGACACCGGTCCTAGGAGGAGCATTCTCCACTCTTCGCTTCTGTGGGCACCGGGTCTCCTCCTACCGCCAGACTTCTCAGAAAGCACATCTGGACTTTGTGGCTCTTTCCCTGGTTTCAGACGTCCTGCATCCTACCCTGGCCAATGGTGCTCCACTGACACGGCTCCCCTCGGAGGTCCCAGGGAGCTCAGATCCAGCCCAGGTGGACGTGGCTTCCCTGTGGGGCACCTGCTTCCTGCTGCCAAGTCACCAGGACACGTTGTGTCCTGTCCTCTGTCCCTGCCCTCTGCCGGCCTTCACGTACCACCCCCACCCCACTCTGCTATCTTTCTCCCAAAACTCTCTGCAGCTCTTCTGCTCCCTCCCCCAGAATGGTGACCTTCTCTGAGCCCTGGTACAGCCTTCACCCCCATACCCTACACGGTGGCTCCTCATGAGGTCAAGTCCTTAAAGGACCCCATGTCTGGTGGGCATCTCCACTGGGGGTCTCATGGTCCCCATCTGTCTCACTGAGCCCTCTCACACCCTGGATTACCACACTGGACACTCATCCCCCACGTACATCCCACACTGCACGCCTACCCTCACATCCCACAGTGGGCACCCACCCACCACGTATATCCCACAGTGGCACTCCCCTGCCACGTACGCTCCACAAGCAGCGGGCACCTCGCCACGTACATCCCACAGTGGCACCCACCCACCACGTACATCCCACAGTAGGTACCCCGCTACGTATACATCCTAATGCGCAAAGGCAAATTCCCCTCGCCACGATAACCCCACAGCGCGCCGGCACCCCTGCCACGACGCCCTGGCGCTGCCGGCACCCCCGCCACATACGCCCCACAGCGGCACCCCGCCACGTACATCCCACACTGTACGCTCACCCTCACATCCTACAGTGGGTACCTCACACGTGAGACATCCTGGCCAGCGGTAAATTCCCCGCCACGTACGCCTGCCAGGCACTCGCCACGTACGCCCACAGCGGGCACCCCCGCCACGTGACGCCGCCCACAGCGGGCACCCACCCGCCACGACGCCCACAGCGGGCACTCGCCACGCACGCGCCCACAGCGGGTACCCCCACCGTATCGCCCCACAGCGGCACCCCGCCACGTACGCCCCACAGCGCCGGCACTCTGCCACGACGGCCCCACAGCGGGCACCCCGCCACGCACGCCCCACAGCGGGCACCCCGCCACGCACGTCCCACAGCGGCACCCCGCCATGTACATCCACAGTGGGCACCCACCCCCATGCCCATTCCACACTGTACACCTGTCCCCACCACCAACTCCTAAGCTGCTCACTCATGCCCCATGACAACGTCAGGCATCTCTAATCTTCCTCTCTGCTTCAGCTCCCCCAGGCGTGGTTGTTGTTGCGCCCTCTCACTCCCCACCCTCTCCCCTGTCCAGGCCTCATTGCTTTCGAGCTGAATTCCTGAACTAACATCCTGATGGCTCTGTGCCCTCCAGTCCTTTTTTATTGACCACAAAAGATGCTTAAGAGGTACTAAATTAGGTGGAAGATACAGGTGTTTAAGTAATCTGTAAATAGTCTTTCAGTCAGACTCAACCTTCCCTTCCTCAACCAAGAAGCCTGACAGCTGGGCCTCGAAGAGAATTCAGTGCGTTCAGTGTGTTCACGGGGGTGGCGGGAGGCCCTTCCGCAGGCGCTCTGCTCGCTGGAGCCAGCCTTTCTCCCTGAGACGCCGCCAGTTCCTGATGTCACTCGCCCACAGCACATTCGTAGCGTGCTCTCGAGAAGGATCTGACCCCGGAAACCAGGGGGAAAACAAAGGGGCTAGATTTCTGGAACAAAAGTTCTTGTTTTAAAAGCTCCTCCTGCATCACAGAGATGAGGAGGAACAGCTGCTTTGGGAGGTGTCCTTGCCTGCGCGATTTTGTTCTACTAATGAAAGGCTGAGATCAGTGTCACTGAGTGGCCGAGCACCATCCGCTCAGGGCACCCTCCAGGTACCAGCCAATCTGAGGGGCTTCCGGGACAGCCCCTGGGAGACAGGAGGACCTGGGAGGCAGGTGAGGGCAGGGCAAGAAGAGGACGCCCTGGGGCCGAGCTGTTGCCACTCAGCTCACGGTGGTCAGGAGAGTTTGGAGGCAGGAGGAAAGGAATCCACTCCAATCACTTCTGACAGGGTCTCTCCAGAAAGCCTCTATTACTTCAAACCTCAGAGCCTGAAGATAAAATATATTTTAAAAATGTATCTTAGGATAAAACTTCCACTAAAAAGTCCCAAAACCAAGGCAAACTCCCAAGAAAGATCAAGTTTCAAATGTGCAAATGGAATCAGGGGGTCTCACGAGTGAGGACGAGGTGGTGGTTTGGGTTTCACGGATTGCCGATGTCCAGGAAGACGGATTGAACTTCTGCAGGATGTGCCAGACTGCAGGGGGTTGAGACCACACAGTGGAAACTGTGGGAACGGCAGAAGCCCACCCACACGCTCGGCCCTCCCAGGTCTATCCACGCCCAGGTGCTCCTGGTGATGCTGCCCTGTCCTCCTCCCTGAGCTGTCCCTGCCGCCCTGTGTGTGCCCACGATGCCCAGCTCTGCCCTGGCCCCTACTCCCACCTGACATGTCACAGGCACCTGCGTGTTGGCGACTCCGCCTCCCACTGCCAGGGAATGGAACGTGCCCCGCCGCTCAGAGCTCTGCACAGTGGATGCTGCTGCTGCCGCCTCAGCTCCCCTCAGCCCCCCAGCTCCTGCAGTGCCCCCAGGCCATGGAGGACTTTGCTGCTGCCAGATGCCTCTACCTTTCTCACTGCACACCTCAGCCAGACCCGCCTCTGGGTCCCAACCCTGCCCTGGGCTGCTTCCTCACCCCTGCACCTCCATCTCTCTTTCCTCTACAGCTGGTGAGGTTTGAAATACACATGTCTGCCCTCCCTCTGTTCCTGTCGAGGTTCTTCCCTGCTCCCCCTGCCTTTAGGATGAAGTGGGAGGTTGATATTGCGTCTCAAAAGCCCGTGGGGCATGTTTGCTGAGTAAAATGCTGGTTTGGAAATTCCTGTCTCTTCTGAGCCCGAGTCCTCATCCAGCCTTGTAACTCACCGGCCTGGCCTCCCCCGCAGCCTCCTGAGTGCAGCCAGCTGCGCAAGGCCATCGGGAGATGGACAACCAGGGTCTCTCAGCTGACCAGTGAGCCTGTCTACGAAGAACGGTATGGTGGCTCCCGGCGCCACCCTCCCTCCCTCTCACCTCCAGGCCCGTCCGGCCACCTGGCAAGTGCCTGCAGTGGCTACGCCTGCCCTGTGGTCCCTTGCTGCCCCTGCCGGCCCCTGCTGCCTCCCAGCCCCTGCTGCCCCGCTGTCCCCTGCTGCCCCGCCTCGGCCCCTGCTGCCCCGCCGGCCCCTGCTGCCCTCCAGCCCCTGCTGCCTCCAGCCCTGCTGCCCCGCCGGCCCCTGCTGCCCTCCAGCCCCTGCTGCCCTCCGTAGCCCCTGCTGCCCTCCAGCCCCTGCTGCCCCGCTCGGCCCCTGCTGCCCCGCTGCCCTGCCTCCCGCTGTCCCCTGCTGCCCCGCCTCGTCCCCTGCTGCCCTCCAGCTCCTGCTGCCTCCCGCCTCGCCCCTGCTGCCCTCCAGCCCCTGCTGCCCCGCCGGCCCCTGCTGCCCTCCAGCCCCTGCTGCCCCGGGCTGCCCCTGCTGCCCTCCAGCCCCTGCTGCCCCTGCCGACCCTGCGCTGCCCTCCAGCCCCTGCTGCCCTCCAGCCCTGCTGCCCTGCCGGCCCCCAAGGCCCTCCAGCCCCCTGCTGCCTGCCGCCCCTGCTGCCCTCCAGCCCCTGCTGCCCGCCGCCCCTGCTGCCCTCCAGCCCCTGCTGCCCCGCCTCGGCCCTGCTGCCTCCAGCCCCTGCTGCCCCCGCTGCCCCTGCTGCCCTGCCGCCTCTGCTGCCCCGGGGCTGCCTCTGCTGCCCTCCAGCCCCTGCTGCCCCACCGGCCCCTGCTGTTCGCTGCCCTGCTGCCCCGCCTCTGCCTCATGGCAGCCCTCCAAGCCTCAGAAGGCCCCACAGCCTGCTGCTCTGGCTCTGCTGCTCCCTCGGTCCCCTGCTGCCCCGCCTCGCCGGCCCCTGCTGCCCTCCAGCCCCTGCTGCCCTGCCGGCCCCTGCTGCCCCGGGCCTCGGCCCCTGCTGCCCTCCAGCTGCCCCTGCTGCCCCGCCGGCCCCTGCTGCCCCGCCGGCCCCTGCTGCACATGGCTGTGCCTTAAGTTTGTTGCAGAGATGTAAGTGCTCGCTTTTCAGCCCTGCCCTTCCCCACAGCTGTCGCTGGTGTGCGCGAGACGGACAGCAAGATCTACCTGCTGGTGAAGGAGGAGAAGCGCTATGCGGATGCCCAGCTGTCCTGTCAGGGCCGAGGAGGCACGCTGGGCATGCCCAAGGACGAGGCTGCCAATGGCCTGATGGCCGCATACCTGGCGCAGGCCGGCCTGGCCCGTGTCTTCATCGGCATCAACGACCTGGAGAGGGAGGGCGCCTTCGTGTACTCCGACCGCTCCCCCATGCGGACCTTCAACAAGTGGCGCAGCGGCGAGCCCAACAACGCCTACGACGAGGAGGACTGCGTGGAGATGGTGGCCTCGGGCGGCTGGAACGACGTGGCCTGTCACACCACCATGTACTTCATGTGTGAGTTCGACAAGGAGAGCATGTGAGCCTCAGGCTGAGGCTGGCCGCCGGGAGAGCCCGTGAGCCTCCGCATATGAGCCTCAGGCTGAGGCTGCCCACTGGGGACCCCACGTGTCCCGGCAGGGTTGGCAGAGCCAGAGCCCAGACCATGGTGCCAGCCAGGGAGCTGTCCCTCTGTGAAGGGTGGAGGCTCACTGAGTAGAGGGCTGCTGTGTAAACTGAGAGAACGGCCTGTGTGTAAGAGGAAAAAGAAAGTGTCCCTGGGCTGCTGTCTCTGAGGAAGCGGAGTTTCATTACCGTCTTGTAGCCCCAATGGCATTATGTAATTATTACCCAGAATTGCTCTTCCATAAAGCTCGTGCCTTTGTCCAAGCTATACAATAAAATCTTTAAGTAGTGCAGTAGTTAAGTCCAAATGGTGGCAATGGGGTCTTGAATTACTACCTTTTAATTTCTATATGGAAAAGAACTCACTTCACTTTGACTGATGCTTCTGTAAATTATATTAAAATATAGGTTCCTTCACACTATTATCCAAGTAAAAACAATTTTGCTTTGCTTCAAACCCAGATTTCAGGAAAACACCACCAAAATATTCTCCAAACTATACTACTACATGTGTGGAGTCATTTTGTTCTCTTAATTTTTTCAATAGCTCTATTAGTTATCTTTTTTATTTTAATTAATTTTTGTAGAGGTGAGGCCTTGTTATGTGGCCCAGGCTGGCCTTGAACTCCTGGGCTCAAGCGATCCTCCCACCTCGGCCTCCTGAATAGCTGGGCCTACAGGCAGGAGCCACCACACCAGCTTGTATGAGTTATCTATTGCTGGCTAACAAATTACCCCAAAACTCAGTGGCCTAAGAAAGATTGATTACCTCCCAGATCAGAAATCTGCATAGGACTTAGCTCGGTCCTCTACTTTGGGGCCTCTCCCAAGCTGAAACCAAGGTCATTCCTCCTGCAGTTTGGGCAGAACTCAGGTACTCCTCAGTTGTTGGACAGAGGGCCCCAGTTTCCCACCAGTTGTGGGTCACAAGCTCCCGCAGTTCCCTGTCACAGGGGCCCTTCCCCTGGGCTGCCCACAACACGACAGCACCTTCCTCAGAGCAGCCCAGGAGAAGAGCTGAAGAGAGAAGCCACAGCCTTTCCTAAGCTAACCTGGACATGTCCTGCTGTCTGCATCTATTTGCATTGCCATAAAGGAAAACCCAAGGTTGGGCAGCAGATCAAGAAAGAGGTTTATTTGGCTCATGGTTCTGCAGGCAGCACTGGAAGCATGGTGCCAGCATCTGCTCCTGGTGAGGCCTCAGGCCGTGTCCACCCTCAGTGGAGGGGGAGGGAGAGCCGGCACTCACAGAGATCACATGGGGAGAGGGAAGCCACAAAGAGAGAGAGGGAGGTGCCGGGCTGTTCTGCATAATCAATCAGTTTAGGGAAGGAACAGAATGAGAACTCACTCACTGGGGTGAGGACTGAGGACAGCACCCAAGACACTCGTGAGGGTTCTGCCCCCAACCCAAACACCACCTATTAGGCCCCACCTCCACCACTGAGGGTCACATTTCAACATGAAATCTGGAGAGGCCCAACAGCAAACCACAGCACGTGCCTTCCCTCTGCGGTGCTCCACCAGCTCGTGGCGAGGCACTGGGTGCAGCCCCTGCATGGGGGTGAATACATACCAGCGGGTGGGGACCACTGGGGGTCAGTTCAGAAGCTGCCCACCACAGTACCTCAGTTGTTTTTTTTGTGTGTTTCAGAATCCCAATAAAAATAACAAATATCTCCATTTTAAAAATAGAACACACAAACACACACATTCCATCCCAGCTAGTATTGTGGGGCGAGAGGGAGCTGTGGAGCCGGCTCCCAGGGGCTGGTGTATTTGTGCACATCCTGCAAGGGAGGCCCCGGCGGCCCTTTGTTCTAGGTTATCTATTCTGGTTGTTTGCAGAGTGAAATGCCTTGGAAGATAAAGGTAGTGTCTCCCTTCCTTGTCTCCCCACCGGAGAAAAGGGCAGGTTTGCCTGCAGCCTTGGAAAATAGAGCGTCTCGTTCTGCGACAACGGGCAGGCATGGTTACTGTCCAGCATGATGAAGATGATGCCTCCCTCCAGGAAAGAGTGCAGGCGTGTGTACTACCTGCTAGAGAAGAACCGGGCGCCCTAGGCTCAAGGGTCCTCCCTGTGACAGACCCACTGCATGTGCAGGTGCTGTCTGCCTTCCTCCTGAACCCCTGAAGGGAGTGGAGCCCAGGATACTGGTGCAGAAATGCCAATACCCTGGCCACAGCTGTTGATGTAAGTAACAAAGTCCTTTGTCTCTGACCCAGAAGTCTCATGTCTTCAGCCAGCACCCATGTACCTGGGGCTGTAAGTAGGGTAAAATCTCAGACCCTTCACAGTTCTTGACAGGAATTTCTTGATATCTCCTTGAATTTAATTCTTGTCTCACTGGAAGGACATAGCAAACACGTTTATTCCAGACCTGAGCGGTCCCTGGTTTGGTTGGATGGGAAGAGGAGCGCCTTGTCTTATGTAGCAGGTTCCAGGGAATGATATACAGCCAGAGAAGCAGGTGCTGCTGCCTCGCCTGCTGGAAGGGAGCCCGTCAGAGTGGCCAGGCTTTTGCTTCATTGGCGCAGACTCTGCGTGAGAGATGGAGTCTTCCTACTGGTGCGTATATCCTTCTGGTGCTTACAAGTTACTGCAGCCATTAGCTCACCCCTCTATCACTCCCCCATGCATTCATTTACTAAGCAGTCAGTTTGAACATTTCTCTGTTTCTGACTCTGTCAGACCCATGGTTTTCTGTGTGGCAGTTCCACCGATGCCTGGAGTGTAGCTGAGGAATTGGGAGATGCTGCTGTGTGTGTGTGTTTGGGGGGCAGGCTGTGTGTGGGGAGGGTGATCACTGAGCAGGTCATCTCACTGAATGAGCAAGTCCTCAGTGGTCCCGCTTCTGGTCTCACAGGCTGTGCTCTGCTGGCCATCATCCCCGTGAGGATGCAAAGCTACTCCCTCAGCCCCCGCACCCCTCATCCCTCTATTGCCTCCGAACTCGCTGGTTCACTGAGGTGGCCTTGAAATGTAGGGCCCCAGACAGGCTGCAGGGTTGTGCGTGTGATGACATGGGACCATGTGAATGTAATTTGTAGTATTTTCAACGGGACACACACATATGTCTAAGAAGTTAAAATCCTCCTCCTTTTCTTCAACTTTGCTCTAGTTGAGGGTCAGTGTTTCTAGGCCTTTTCCAAGAGCATGCGCTCACATACACACACACACACACACACACACACACACACGTGATTAAACGGACCTGGAGAATGGGTCAGGGGTGGGCATTCTTTCTCACCCTGCCTTCTTCATCAGCAACCTGTCTTGGGGCAATTCCCATGCTGCCTATGGGGCCTGCCTGCTCCTCCCATCCTGAGGCAGAGTATTCCTGAGCGTGGCCCCTGGGGGTCACTCACCCATCCTCTCCTGATGCCCCTGGGGGTCACTAATGCATCCTGTACTGATGGACGCTAGTGTTGTCTCAGCCTTCACTCTTGCAACCCAGCTGCGGTCAGGCTCCCTGAATGTGCCTTGATGTGTGCCAGTGCGACCCTATCCATGGGGGAGAAAAAGACCTGGGAGTTGAACGGCCGCACTTACACATTTGGTAACAGATCCAAGGCCAAGTCTGGACCTGGGAGTTACAGGCAGGAGAGGAGAGGCCAGGCTCTGCCGATGATGGTGCAGTGGGCAGGTGTGCGGGCAATGGGCAGTGGGCATCCTGGGGGCAGCAGCTCCAGGGAGCCTGGCAGCCCTGCCAGCCTCTCCCACTCCTCTGCTAGTGACGAGTCGGGGCCCTCAGGATGGGTGGAGGAGAGCTCTTTGGCCTAGCGAGGTTTGTCCTCTTTTCCATTTCTACCCCCCATCAAGGAGCAGAGGTGATTATTTTAATGGATGAGTCGTATTCATTATGTGGAGTGGCTTCTTCCTGACACGTCTCCCAGTCAAACAGGAAAGCATATCTTCCATCTGTCTTTAATGAGGCTTTCACATGCTCGCGGCTGCTCTGCCTAGGCTGGGGGAGCCAAGATGCTCCTGACGCTGGCAAAGCTCTTGTGCACACATAGGGTGTTGGCTCTGTGCATGGGAGGCTGGCCGGCTCTTCCTCACCTGCACGGCGGCATCCACTGCCCACAACGCCTCCCTGGCTGCCCCAGGTCCACCAGTCCTGGAGGAACAGCTGGCCTTTGGGATCCTGCAGGGTCTGGGGTGCTGCCCACAGAGTGGATGGAGACCCTGCTTCCATGTGTGGACTCCTGGCCACAGGGAAGGCCTGCCAGCTGGGCTTCCACTCCCATAGGGCTGCCCGCAGCATCTTTGTCCAAGTGTGCACAGGGCGTGGGCTGTTCACCACCCCCCATTCTCTGCTCCAATACCACCCCCTGTCCTGCAAATCCACTCGGGCAGACGGCCGCCTCTTCCGCCAGCGCACCACACGACCCGCTGTGTCCCAGGGTGGGACATGCCTTCAAGTGACAGTGTGATCTTCACGAAGTTACTGAAACGTCCTAAGCCTCGGTTTCCTCATTGGTTGAGTGAATGATTTTCATACCTCCCACTGGGGCCTTGTGAGGATTACACGACACGATGTGTGCAGAGCGGTCGGCGTGGCAGAGTTCTGGGTGTTGAGTACTGAGTACCTGGCCCCGCAGAGAAGCCCGAGTGCAAGGCAGCAGTGAACATAGCCCAGGACAATACGTCCTCACCATAGACGGGTTCGTAGAAACGGCAACACACGTCATAGACAGGTTCGTGGAAACGGCAGGCTTAGGTGAAGTGGCGTCTAATGAAACCAGTTCCACAATGGGCGCGTTGAGGAGCAAGACTGAAGTGCCTAGGGCGTCATTCTGGTCACAGGGTCATCACCAGACTTTGAAAAAAGACCCTAAACAGTTTTAATATGAAATACTGAAGTAAATGTGGTCTACACATACATTTAAGAAAGATTAATAGAAATAAGATCCGTGTTACCCAGTGGTTCTGGTTCAGGGGTGTGGGTGGCCCAAGCCTGACCTGGCAGCTCAGGGTGCAGGGTAGGCTCCAGCCCTGGGGAGGACGCTGTCCCATCGCAGAGTAGCACACCTGCACTCACACAGGGACCACGCAGACATGCCAGGGACTCATGCGCGCGTGTGTGGACATGGAGGAAACCAGAGTGCCCAGAGACAACCCACACAGACACAGGGAGACCGAGCAGACGCCACAGACGGTGGCCCTGGCTGGGAATCGGTGTTTTTCCTCGTCTGCGCTACAATGAAGCAAGGTTGGTGAAACAAGATTCGAGGGCCTGCTGCCCGTCGCTTCCCCAGCCACAGCTGCTCAGCACCACCTAAGGCATCTTCCAAATTCCCTCTGTCACGAACTGGACGTGATGCATTAGTGCCCTGAAAGGCACGGAGCCGTCTGTGGGTCTTCGTCCCTTTCTCTCCTCTTATGCCCGATTCTGCCAGAAAACAAGAGCCATTT